CATATATGCAACTCTCTTTCTCTGTCCTTCTCTCTCTCTCTCTATTTCGCTATCTATCTGCCTCAATTCACATCTATCTATCTATCTATCTGTCTATCTATCTATCTATCTATCTATCTATCTATCTATCTATCTATCTATCTATCCGAATACATTAATATCTCACGCATACGTTCACACTCACGCCCTCAGAGGTACTTTTCATCTTTAAATTTCTCTTCTCTAATAGTGGAAGCTATTTTATACCCCTCCATCCACCATTAAAAATTCTACGTAGTCAATCTCACAAGCTATTAGGAGTGAGGACCATATTCACTCGGTACTCGAATAAAAGGCCCTGACCCAAAATAATCGTCATGCGGCAAACATTTTTCCCTAAACGTTCTCAATACTTTTAAGTTCCTCATTTCCTTACATTAAAAAACAATTTTCCTCGGCCCTTTGCGATAATATTTCAAGCGACAACATTAATAATAATAAAAAAGACAGAAATTTGAGATCCATAACAAGTTATACTGTGGCCACACCCAGCATACAAGCAAGTCGAAAGAAACACACGCATCTTTGTGAATATTTGTACACATACACAAAATGTTACACACAAACAAATACACACACATGAATATGCAAACATACACTTGTGTACAAGCTCATATTAGTAGAGACTTGTATAAATTTGTCAAAACAATCCAGTACGTAATCATATATGCATAACATCGATGGTGCTTTTGAATTAAATGTCCTAAAACAAAAAAAAAAAAAAAAAAAAAAAAAAAACAAAAAAAAAAAAAAACGACTACATTATACGATGTTAATATGTACATACTGTAATTTCTTGTGTATAATACGATTCAAGTATAATATGACCTTTTGTTTGTGGATCTATTATACTTGTATTTTCTACTAGTATTTTTCGGAGGGAGTTTGGTAAGTTTTCGTGTCAGTTTAAAAGAGCCCTAATTGAACTATAGTGTAACGTGGTGTAGGTGCAGCCCTAAAAAGATCCCTAATTGTAACTATGGTATAACGTGGTGTATGTGTAACCTGAGTCATCTAGATAGACATCTTTAGTCAAACTCGAAGGCAGCTTATAATCACAGGATAAACTGGAATCTGTACCCTTGAATGGAAAGACTTCATCTCCAGGAGTAAAATCCCTTACTACTGAAAGATTATGCAATGCCTGTTAGTATCAGCTATTGAAAGATTTTACTTCCCAAATAATAATTTAAATACCAGGTGTAACAGTAACATTGTCGAAATCATGTAACAGCATAGCTGTCCATCACACAAAATGTTTAATATCTAAACAACCACTAAAGTAATTACGTTTCTATTTTCCAGATTTTCAGATAGGGCTTTTAGCCATCTTGACACCATTTGTTGTAAGAATCCCTGAAGAACACTTTGAGTTATTCAGCTAAAGAGAGAACAGGTTAAAATCGTTTTGTGTCAGCCCTACTATGTCTTCCCAACTGAGCAATGATGAGAGGAAAAAGATCATTCAAGCCTTCAGTAATGGTACCAACATTCATATTCTGGCTTCTATCTTCAAAGTCCATTCAAGAGCCATTAAGAGAACGGTGAATAAGTTTAAAAAAGAGAGGGAAGTAAAGAGGAAGACTGGATCAGGATGTAACAACAGTATTTCAACTTACTGTTAAATACATTCTTATTGTTCAAAGTAGTGTCCAGTAGTGTTATAAAACTTCAGAATTCCCGTAAGATATCTTTAATCATTTCTAAGATACAACGGTTCAAAGCTTAATCTAACAACTGGACAATTTTGCTGTTATACGATTTGGTCAATTTTGCTGTTATACGATTTGGACAATTTTGCTGTTATACGATTTGGTCAACTTTGCTGTTATACGATTTGGTCAACTTTGCTGTTATACGATTTGGACAATTTTGCTGTTATACGATTTGGACAATTTTGCTGTTAGACACGATATATATATATGTAAAAGTTATTATGTATATAAGTATGCATAGTGATATTAAAAAAGGTTTTAGCTGGTTTTAAACTTAAATGTGAATTTTCTAATGATACCCTAGCGTATTAAGAAATTCAAATTGATAATTTGAAAGTAAGAATTAACATTCGTTCCGAGGAGTATAAATATACGGTGTGATAATAATTACAATAGATTTATCGACCATTTGTCTCTATAGAAACTCTTCGGTTAAGTTCCTTGGACTTTTCTAGATTTGACCACAAGACGAGTGGATGGAACGATTTCCCGGAGGACCCGTCTACGAAACTCTGGAGTCGGAATGCTGAAGGTAACATCAATCAGCTAAGCAACAAATCTTTTACTTGTATTAATTATCTCTATATATTTCTTCTTATTAAGAAAATGTGCCTTCCGAGAGGGTTGGAATCTGTGAAAAGAATAATAATAAAAAAAGCTGGGATGTCTATCAAATTGTTTTATCCACTAAATATAACGTTTAAAATCATCAGAAATAATGGCGCATTATAAGTAAAATTCATTAATTCCTTAGAGATTTCAAAATTTAGCTGCTGGAACTCAAAATCCAGACGATCCGCACATATGATTTAATTATTATGACGAAGGCTTATGCATAACTAACCATACATGTTCAGAATACACAGAACTAGCTCACAGGACATCCAAACGATCTTCCTCAGGTTTTGAGTTGCGAGTTCTCTCTCTAAAGTGATTACCAACAAAGGCCAGAGTGCCAAGTCTACCCTACTATTTAACTGATAGCTGGGTAGGGGGAGACGAAGAGATAGATTCATAGCTTACCTAAGCCTATTTGCTCCTATGTGAATATAACGAACATGACTGGAATTCGAAGGCGGCTCTCCGATTACCCAATGAAAGTTCTCCTTTACACCAGCCGCACATTCATACCTTAGAAACATATACAAGGTTTCCCTCCATTTAAGGTGTGAGTAACTACATGTCCCAGGAAAACGAAATTAAATAGGCAATAAAGTATTTATTTATCAAAATTCGAACTAGATATTCAAAGGGATATAGCTTTTATAATCGATATGAATGAGTGTGAATATATATATATATATATATATATATATATATATATATATATATATATATATACTGTACACCAATGCAGTTTAATATTGAAGATTATTATCAATCAATATCAAAAGAACTGTTCATGAATGCGTTGGACTTTGCTACCCAGTACAAGGACGTAACAGAGGAAAAAAGGGGCATTATTATAAATGCGAAAAAATCAGTACTGATACATAAAGGTAAGCAATGGATAAAGAATTCTTATGACCCCTTTGACATTACAATGGGATCACTAGACTTAGCTGAGTCTTCTGACCTTATAGGTCTTTTTATATTATACAATCTTACAGCGTACAATGAAATTAATATAACTGACATTGGTTTATACAGAGATGATGGACTTGTGGTTATAAAGAACTCTATTAACATTAAAATCAATAAAATTAGAATATTATATGAAGAATTTAAATGCCCGAACTTAAAAATTACCGTAAGTACCAAATTGAAAAAGTGGACTTCCTTGATATAACAGATTTAATGAAAAATATATACATACCTTATAAAAAACCCAATACTAATCCTTTGTATATACACCCTAAATTTAATCATCCTCTATCTATAATTAAGCATACACCTTTATATATCGAAAAAAAGAATAAGTACAAAGTCAGCAAATAAGAAGATTTTCTATGAACATATTAATGTCTATAATAAAGCTCTAAAACATAGTGCCTAAAAGAGCCTAAAACTAACTTATATAAAACATGAAAATGGAAAGCATAGAAAAACAGAAGCAGAAAAATAATTTGATATACACCCCATACAATCAAATGGTAAAGAATAAGTTAGGGTAAAAATTCCTCGCATTAATCGTTAAACATTTTCCTGAAGATAGTAAACTCAGTAATATTTTCAATAAAAATACCCTAAAATTAAGTTATAGCTGTACTGAAAATTATTAAGAAACACAATGTTAATATATTCAATAAACACTTAGACTAAAAGCAAGGAAATTTAGACAGTATAAAAATAAAAAGAGATGAAGATAAACAAAAATTATGTAATTGCAGAATTCCTAATAACTGTCCTCTAAAAAATAAATGTCGCACGGAATCATTAGTATACCAATGCAATATTTCATCTATTGAGGATCCTGACAACGTAAAAGTCAACATAGGATATACAAGAAACGAGTTCAGAAACGCTTTAACCAACATCAAAGTTCTTTTGGGATAAATAAATACCGAGATCAAACGTCCCTATCGAAATATTTCTGGCACTTAAAAGAAACCAATAAAACACCTACAGTAAAATGGAAATTAATAAGAAAAGCTAGAATATGTAGGTCATTAAATGCCCCATGTCCTTTGTGCATACATGGGAAACTGTATATTACTAGGTTTATAAAAAATAAAAATTTCTGAATCAAAGAAATGAAATAGCTATTCTTTGCTGACATTGTCAAAAATTTTCCTCAAACAATATTTAATAAAAAAAAGAGAGCTGTAATATACATATTTATATTTGATATTTAATAATAATAGTAATATACATACTTATATCTGATATTTAAATCTGTTGTTTAAATAATTTAAGTAATTCTATTACATTTATTTGTTTTAAAATTAAATATGGTCTATTAGTAATTAAAAGTAAAAATAATATTGTAAAATTGTAGTTGAATACAATGCATTCTAATCCAAACACCCCTTTTAGAAAGAATAAGTATAAATTTAACGGATAAAAATGCCGAAATTTTTTTGTCTTTTAAAAAAGACAGACGACATGCATTGAACGGATGCCATAATTCGTTGAAAAATACACCCCTACCCTACCTAGACATAAGCTCTTTTCGAAAGTAACTCAAATTTAATAGAATAGTTGTTAATAAAAATGAACACGCTACGGCCCCTGTCTAAATGATTGGATTTCTCTGTATCCTTGGAAACAACATTTATGAATGTATGTACGTTTAAAAGTAAATCTCAAAATAATTTCGCTTGAAAATGAAACAGAACTAGTGCTTTTAATTTAATTAAATAATTGAATTTGAAGTTGCTAGTTTCTGTTTTTGAAACATGGTAATTCCTGTGTACCGAAGGAACCATATGTTTAAATAAGTTCATTTATAATATTTATGCTAT